TAGATAGATAGATAGATAGATAGATAGATAGATAGATAGATAGATAGATAGATAGAAAATTGGTTTCAAGACATTGGATGTAACAGCCCCAATGTCCTCTTCCAAATCTATGATTCTCTTCTGTTGGTCTCCCTTCCTGGCCCTTACAGCTTGGCACAGAAACGTTTGGCAGTAGACAAATCACATAGATTATATTGAAGCAAGACCAACCTGGATTTGCAATTACATTAATTGAGCTAATTTAGCATAAAAAGCAGCTGCACAGGCACAGACTCTTCTCATAACTTGAAAATGCCAAAATTCTTCTCTTTTCAATGCAAAAGACCTTAATGGAATTTGCAATCATATCTTCAGTGCAATAATTAAGAATGGAGATCTACTTCATCTGAATATCAAAAAGGAGATTTGAATTCCCTTAGGTATTAGGAATAGAAGAAATGAACAGGAAACAATTGATTAATTCTCATAATCCTCATGAATAAAGTGATCAAATGTAGGCTACTACTGTGACATGGATTCATAATTGGCTGAATGACCATACTCAGAAAGTACTCATGAATGGCTCCACATTGGCTTGGAGAGTAGTATCAAGTGGAGTGCCAGAGGGCTCCGCCCTGGGCCTTGTGCTGTTCCAGATTTTAAATGACCTGGATAAAAGGAGTTCAGGGGGTGATGATTAAATCTGTGCATGACACAAAACTAGGAGGACTGGCTAACACTTCGGAGGAGATGATTTTTAAAACTCTAGATGGCCTTGAACACTGAGCCAAAATAAACAGGATGGAATTTAGCAGGGAGAAGTTCTGCATCTGAGAAGAAGAAAAATGAAAGGCACAATATACAATGGGAAGCACGTGACTTGGCAGTAGTACAGGATCTAGGTGTTCTAGTAGATCACAGGCAGAACATGAACCAACATTGTGATGCATCTGCTAAAAAGATAAACATTATTTTAGAATGAATTATTGATCGATTATGTGCTATGAAGTCATTGTTAACTCTTAGCAACCACATAAATAGATTTTCTCCATGATGATCTGTCCCTAACCTGGTCTTTCAGCTCTTTCAATAGTGCCCCCATTACCACTGTAACTGACTCCATCTACCTTGAAGCTGGTCATTCTCTTATTCTCTTTCTTTCCACCTTTCCCAGCTTTAGAGACTCCTCCAGAAACCTAGGTCTTCACATAATGTGTCTGAAGTAGGATAATTGAGCTTGGTCACGTCTGCCTCTGGTGAGAACTCTGGGTTGATTTGTTCAATGATCAAATTGTTTGCTTTCTTTGTTGTCCACAATTTTCTCAGGAGTCTTCTCCAACACCAACGTTCAAAGGCATCAATACTCTTCCATGCCTGCTTCTTCAGTCCAACTTTCACTTCCATAGAGTATCACAGGGAATACCATGGCTTGCACTATTCTGATCTTTGTAGTTATAGACATATCATGCATTTGAATAACTTTTTCAAGGCCGTCATAGCTGCAGAATATTTCTTGACTTGTTCCTTTATTGTTAATGGTTGATCCTAAAAGGCAGAAGCTATCCACCACTTCAGTGTCTTTTTTTTTTTTATGTTTTTTTTTTTTTTT